CCTGGCACTTTCCTCCTTGGCTCTTTCTCTCTGTCTCTGCTTCCTGGGTGCCATGAGGAGAGCAGCTTTTCTCTGCCATGGAGGTTCAGGGCAATGCAGAGAGAGCCTGTGAGGAGGTGGAGAGCCTGGGGCAAGTGAGGAACAAGTCCTGTGGCCATCAAAGGAATGGTGACCCAGGCAGGGAGTGGCTCATGCAAATCAGGGTTTTCCAGAAAAGGGGCTGGCACATATCGCCTGTCAGGAGCCAGGCAGTAAGTAATCTGGGCTTTGCGGGCTATGTTGTCCTTTGCCAGATCTACTCCATCACTGTCATTCAGAAATAGCCATTGAAGGCTGGAGATACAGCTCAATGGTAGAACACTTGTGTAGCATGTGTGAGGCCCAGGGTTCAGTCCCCAGTACCACACAACAACAGCAACAACCACTGACAGCACAGCTGATGGGACATGGATATGCTGCTATAGTACTTTGTTTATGGACATTGATGTAAGAGTTCCATGTCATTTTCACTTGGGATGAAGCAGTGTTTTTTCCATGTCATTTAAGTGTATCAAATTCTTAGCTCACTGGCCCTGCAAAAACAGGTGGCAGGCATGGTCTGGCCACAGGCTGCTCTGTGCATGGCTCTGTCTGCAGAGGACTGGGAAGGAGGCTGTGAGGGAGCCGGGCAGTGGCAGGAAAGCAGCCAGAGACGGGGCAGTGAGAAACGGGGGGGGCCACCACCCGGCCTGGGAGGTGTCCTCTAGCTATGTAGGCTCCAGAATCCCCCCGAAAATACCTGTCTGGAATTTAAGAAATCAGGCTGATTCTGAGTAGTGGGTATTACCCACAGAGCCTTCTCAGAAGGGAGCTGTGTGAGCTGTGTGAGCCAGCATCTGGAGACCGCTTCCTCCCCACTCTGACACTGCTGTGTGACTTCAGCAAAACACTTCCCCTCTGCATGCTTCTGCTTTCTCATCAGCAAAGCAAGACACCAGAACCCTTCCACCTCTGACAGGGACTTGGCACGCATCTCTCCAAGAGGGGAGCCTTACCTTCAGCACCACGGACAATGGCAACCGTTCTTAAGGGGTTGGCCTGAATTGAGCCTGAGGAGATCACACAGTTGGAAGTTTTGATTCTTCTCTCTTCATCCCTGCCTGGGACACCAGGGCAGAGGAGCTGGCCATTCTGTGTCTGTGAGGCCCTGAGCTCAATGTTCCCGTGGCGCTGCTGAGTGCTGCTGCTGCACAATCGTCTCCACTGGAGTGTGTGTGAATCCCATGGTCTCCCACCTCTGCCAGTGAAACTCAGGTATCAGAGACAGAGGTGTCAGGAGACCACAGGAAGGGAGGAGAGGAAGATGTGAAGGTCTCACAGGGCCCTCCCACCATTCACTTCTCCCCTTCCCCCCGTCATCCGCTCCCTGCCTCCACCCCTCTTTCCCAGGGGACAAAGGCAGGGAGATCTTTCGTGCTCCTCTGTGAGTCCTTGTATCTCCTCACATTTGATCTTTTGAGGACATAATTAATTTCCCCACAGAGCCCCTCATCTGCTGTACATCACAACATCTTACATCTCTTGGCTTTTCTCTGTGGCCACTGCCTGACCCTAGTCTGAACTGCTACCCTTGTTTAGCCAGGAAAACTTAAATGGGCTCCTAAGTTTGCTTCCAAAACTCTCCTGGCCATTTTCCCCTGGTGGTTCTTTTTAGGACTACCAGAGACATTTGTAAATACTGGAAAATGTATTCAGCAGTTTTTCCGTGTTCCTAGATGATAGACACCCAAATTGACGCGTGGTGTGTGGACACTCAGATCTATCCATGGTGTGAAGACATCCAGATCTACACATGGTGTGTGGACACTCAGATCTACACAGGCTGTGGAGCTGGATTACTGCCAATCTGCAGCACCCTCAATCTCAAGTCCTTCTCTGTTAGAGGACCAGGAGGCCCTGGCTCTTACTGCACTCATTTCCAGCAAAGCCTTGACTGGTGACAGGCACAGAAATGTGGACACACACTAGGAGAGCCAGCACCTGATTTCCCACTTTTCCTTCTGCCGTGATGAAGGTACTGATCCACACAGAACCTGCTTGGTCAGCCTGTGTCCAGAACAAAGATGTAGGGCAGAGCCACGGTGGCTGGTAGCATGACACAGACAACCTGCCTGTTGGCCACTGCCCTGTACAGTCATTTGTTCCTCAGCAAAAACCTGCCTGGCATGGTCTGGGAGCTCTTGTTCATTGTCCTGTCCCTGGTCTTTAGCACTTAACCTATGTTGTCCTTCCTTCCTGAGAACACTTATAATTTGTCTGTGTGACTCTCTCTCTGCAACATTCACCTTTTGTTGTTGTTGTTGTTTGAGACAGGGTCTCACTGTGTAGTTCAGGCTGGACTTGGACTCATGGTGGTCTTCTTGGGTCAGCTTCCCGAGTGCTGGGATTACAGGTGGGCACCATCCTTCCTTGTGCAAAGTTCACCATTTCTGCCCATTTCACACATACTCACCAGTGAGGTATCAGCTTAAGTGCGAAGTCCACAGGAAGAGACTGTCTGGCCTGTGTTGAGGCGCTTGGAATTCACCTTCCCTGCCATTGCATGCCTGTTCCTAATATATAAGTTTCACAAAGACACCAACCAGGTAATTGGTTGGAACATTTTTGAGACCCTCTTCCATCTCCACTGTCCCAAGTCCTACGCCGAGGGTTTAGTGACGGAGATGGTGAGCCGTGAGCTCTGCCCCCACAAATCCACCCCATAGAGGGGGAGGCAGGTGGCAGTACTTGAGGCCTCTGTTACCATTCTAGCATGTAATGAGCGTAAAGGTGCCGGGCAGAGAGAAGGCAGGGGAAGCTGCCTGTACAGCAGTGTCTGAGTGGTCTTGAAGACGGAGGTTGAGTTGTCTAGCGGGGAGCTGCTGGGGTGGGGTAGGTGTCGGGAGCAGTTCTACATAATTTTGGGGGAAAATCATTTCATAATTAAAATTATGATTAGGTCTAGTTTTCTTGCCTACAGGCCAGCTATGGCACATCTAGACATAACTCCATTTTCTCCTCCAGCCACAGCTAAATGGTTTGCCAATGCTGTGATGCTCCAGGGCAAGATCACACCAGCTGAAGACATCCTGGGGAGGAACACATAGTTCCTTATTGTTCTAGGATTATAACGGCTGCTGCACTATTTGTTACTCCCCATGTACCAAACATGCTGTCCTCTTGAGTCACCTGTTGTATTTGTTATGTGGAATAAAACTGTGGCAAGCTCAGTGTCTTTCATCTTTGCAGCCCAGAGCAGCATTGATCAGGTCCAAAGTTCAGCTTCTTCACCAAGTCTCATTTTTCTATCTTTTCTGTCTAATTAATTAATTTGCCTTGTGCTGTCGTGGCGTGCAGGAGACCAGGACTTACTGCAGAGGTTCTAGTAACATCCCCTTTCCCTGTTCCGTACAGGAAGGGACTCTAGAGCAAGAGATCAGGGTGCATAATATTTCTAAGGCTTGAAATAGGGTCATGAGAGCAGCTGGATTGTTGTCCCTGAGAACCTGAAGACTCTTGTCTTAGTACCTTGGTGTTAGGGTTTTGATCTAGGATGGCCCCCTAAACTCTCATGCACTAGGAGGTGGGGCTGTTGGAAGCTTTGTCCATGAATGAGTTCAGCAGCTGAGTGTGGAGCAAGGGTGAGTGTAGGAGGTTTCCAGTATGTGAACTTTGGAGGAGTAGCTGCATTATTTACATCTTCAGCAATGGTGCAGAAAGGTTCTAGTTTCTCCCCATCTCCCCCACAGACTTGTCTTCTGTGTTTTTGGCAGTGTCCGTCTAGTGGGTGTGAGGTGTATCTCATTGTGGTTTTGATTTGCATCAATTGTGGCAGTTCCTCCTATGAAAAAGTGGTCTCTGGCTTTAGGGCCTGCTTTGGGGTTTGCAGTGTGGCAGGACTGAGGCCCTGTCCATTGCAAGCCCAGGCCTCCAGAGACACTATGCTTTTGCTGTTTTGTTGGAACTGCCCAGCTGCCCTACCCTTAAGCCTACTGGAGGGTGAGAGGCCTGTCACCACCCTGGCACCAGCTGGTCTGCTGTCAGATGTGTGGGAGGCCAGCTAGACCTGCCAGTGCCGCTCAGCTGTCAGCTGACTACAGGTTGAATCCAGCCAGGATCAGCCAAGCCTGCCTCAGGCCAGAACATCTGGCTAGCTCACAGAGTCCTGAGCAATGATTTTTTTAAGCCAGTAGGTTGGGTCTTGTTATGAAACAATTGTCAAGTGATACACCCATGTCCCCGTTCTGGCTTCAGGGTTTTGCTCCTCACGTCTCACAGACAGGCTGTCCTGAACCAGGACAGAGCAGATGAAACTCTTGCCTAACTCCTGCAGGAAAGCCCAACAATCCCTGGGTTGGTTTCTAGGACATAGCAGGGAATCACTTTCTTGGAATCCCAATCATAATCACCCTTTGTGGTGCACTCTGTCGTTGAACCCTCATACAGGCCTGGAGACCCTTTCACACTGGTCACATTCACTATACCAGGCTGTTTGCTGTTATTGTCATGAAATCCCTGAGGGTGGGTACTTCATAAAGAAAAAAAGTTTATTTCCCTCACTGTCCTGGAGGTCTGAGGGCCTAGTCCCAGTATCAGATTGGCTCTGGTGAGGACTCATGGCAGATGGCCTTGTGCTGGGAACACTTGTGGGAGGGACAGATCACGTTATGACAGGAAGCCAGACAACATGGGAGAGACCTATATTGCTCTTTTATGACAATCTCTCAAGAACAAACTCAAGGTCCTACAAGAGCTACCTTAGTGCCTTCCCAAGGCAGCACCCCCCTAGCAACCTTTAGCACTTTCCACTTGGCCCCCTCTCTTACCAACATTGCATGGGGGAACCACGCTACCAACACATGGACCCATGGAGGACAAACCACATCCAGACTCCAGCATAAACTTTTCTTCTCCCCGAGGAGGCAGGGAGAAATTAACCAAGGGCCCGAGGGCCATCTAACCTCTGTGCATTTCTCTCCCAGAAGGTGAAGGACAGTGAGGAAGGAGAGCCTAAAGCCAGAACGGTCCTTGTGGAGCCTTCTACTTCCTAGTTTTGAGTCTCTCCATTTGGCCATCTGGGAAACTTTCCCTTTCAAAGGCTCTGCAGGTAGATCCCGGGTACTGTCACCTCTGAAACTATGGCCAAGGGCTGGGGCAGTTGAGAAAGGGCTCCTTGTATGTGAGGCACCTGTCAGACTGGTATTTATTATTCTTTAATTTATTTTTGGTACCAGGGATCAAACTCAGGACCTTGTGAGGCAGGCGTGGTGTCACTGAGCTAAATCCCCGGCGCCAGATTGGTATGTAGAAGATCCCCTTGGTGGCCACTGAGCTCCCTCGATTACCAGGATCCCTCACCTTGAGCCCCTGGCCCCTCCAGTCCTCCCAGGTAGAGTCAGGGCCTGTCCCCTTCCGCCCACCATGAGCCCTGGGCCTGCTTCATTGTCATAATCTACTCACATACCGTCTCCTCCACTAGCCTGGAGGCCCTAATTTGCCTTCCCACGCTGCATATGTTGGGCAGGTTTTCCCGCTGTTTTGCTTTTCTGTATTCTTATCTATAAAATGGGAATAGCAATAATATTTGCTTCTTAAACTCTTGGAAGGATTCAGTGATGGCCATACACAGGACCTATTCAATGAACTGGAGCACATTGGCTGTCCAAATGTGTTGGATTCTAACAATTTAAATCCAAAAAATTATTTTCAAGGGGGTATAATCCACAAGTCTTAATTATATATGTGTATGTTCAATCACTGAATCAGAAATTAGTGGTCTATTTTCTTTTTGAACTCGAGGCCACCACTCCTCTGCTAATGTGATAGATTCCCTTTGTCTGCCCTTGAAGTTCAAATACAAAGAATCACATAGTATGTGTTCTCTTTGTTTTGGGCTTCTTTAATTCATCACTATGCTGTTGAAATTTGTTCCAGTCTTTGTGTGTATCAGTAGCTTGTCCCTTTTTATTGCCTCGAATATTCCATTTTATGAATATACCACCACTTAAGAACTCTGTTGATGAACACTTGAGTTAACTTGCTGTTTGAAATTATTATGAATAAGGGTGCTATGGACATCTGTGCACAGGATTTTCATTGTGAGCTTATCATTTTACTTGGGTAAAAGTAAAATGTTGCTTGGGTCATAGATTTTGTTTAACTTTTTAGGAAGCTGCCAAAGAGGTCTCTAAAGTGGGGTGTCATCTCAAACTCCCACCACAGTGTGTGAGAGAGAGTTCCAGGTGTTCCAGAGCCGAGGCCGCAGTTGGTGCACTCACTCTTTCATTGGCGCTGTTCTTGCTGGTGGGAACTGGCTTCTCCCTGTGGTGTTACTCTGAATGCTACTGATGGCTATTGACGCTGGGTGCTTTCTCGTGTATTCATGGCCATTTGCATATTGTTTATGAATAGTGGGTTCATTTTTCCACACTTAAAAATAAGACTGTTTTGGGGTTGGGGATGTAGCTCAGCGGTGCTGCGCCTGCCTGGCAAGCACAAGGTCTTCAGTTTGATCCCTAATACCAAAAAAACCCCCAAAACCAAACTATTTTTGGTTATTAATTTGTTGGGAGTTTAAAAAACATATTCTGGAAAGAAGTTCTTGGTAAGAAATAAGTACTGTATGATAAATATTCTCCCATTTTTCTCCTGCTTTTTCATTTTTAAAAAAGAGCTTTGGGGGCCTGGGATTTAGTTCAGTGGTTCTACCACTTGCCTCACAAGTGCAAGAACCTGAGTTCAATTCCCGGTACCAAAAAAAAAAAAAAGAGCTTTGGGAGCTGGGAACTTAGCTGAGTAGTAGAGAATATACTTAGCATGTATGAGGCCCTGGCTTAGATCCCCAGCCCTGCAAAAATAAATAAAGAAGTAAATCAATAAAGTGCTGATACTTTTTGACATACACACAAGTGTGCACTATACAACTTGAAACTAACACCATAGTCATAGAAGTGAATGTATCTGTCACCCCAAAGTTTTCTGTGAGCCTTTGTAGTCTTCCCAAATCCTAACAGTGGAGTGAAGAAAGGAGCTGGGGATCCCCAAGTTTCAGTTCACCTAAAATGATTCGAGGTGTCTCAGCCTGGCACTGAGGTGACATGTGAATCTACGGTCTAGGGCAGTTGTGGCGAACCTGTGGCACCCATGTCGCAGCGGGCTGTTTGTATCATTGAAAGCTCTAAAAGGTTTGCCATCACTGCCTTAGACTAGTTTGTCTTTTGAAACCAAAGTGAAAATCAAAGGTAGTTTGTGTTGTTGATAACATTATTACTCTATCCACTCTACTGAGATTTTGAAAGTTTATCATCATTAGGGCCAAGTTTAAAAACTGAAAATAGATCTCCCCCCCACCCCTGTACATTTGGATTGCTGGAATCTAAAATCCTGGGTGGGTGGAGTAGGAGAATTCAGTGTTCATCTTTGTGACACTACGTTTCCTATTGGTTTCATCATTTTACAGAAGGGGAGACTGAATGAAACTCAGGAGTAGGAAGTGACTTGCTGAAGGGGTGGGAGTAGGATGGGGAGGACTGATGGGTCCTGTTTGGGGAGACACAGCCAGCAGGGTGATGGGTAGGCTGGGGCACAGTATCTGTTATGGTTTGGATCGAGGATGTTCCCCGAAGGTCTCACGTGCTCATAGGCATGGGGCTTTTGGAAGGTGATGGAGTCATGGGGGCTTCTAGCTGACTTGCTGATGGGAAGTGGGGTCTGGTCCCCCAGCACCTGACCTGGAAGGGTGTATCTCCCTCCCTGGATCCTCCCTTCTCTTTGCTTCCTGGCTGCAACTTTCCTCCAAGGCCCTCTGTCATGCTGGATTCTGCCTTGGAGCCAACCATGGACTACATCCATGAACCAAAATGAATGTCTTCTCCTTTAAGTTGTGCTCGTTGGGTAAAAAGTTAATAGTAGCCAAAGTGATTTGTTTTCAGAGTGGATGAAAGGACCACACAGTCAGTCTCCTGAGTGCTGTGTGTATTGCTTCACGGAACTCTCCCTACAAGGCTGCAAATCAAATCTTACAGAGGAGTTGGCATAGGTGGCTGGTGACAGCTGGTGATTGGGGCCCCTCTTACTTTATTAGAGTCATTTGACCCTATGTCATGTCCTACAAGAAGGAAGATGAGAACTGGCAAAGAGCGGTGCTGTGACCAAGTTTTTTTTTTTTTTTTTTGGTACTGGGGATTGAACTTTCTAAGTCTTTATTTGTTTAAATCTTGACTTCTACTTCAGGAAGGTGATAGAGCGGGGGAAATGAGAATACACTGTCTTAGGAGCCAGGCCAGTGGGGTCCAGAGCCTGCCACTTAGGGGAGTGTGGCAGCCCAGTGCTTCAGGTTCTTCACTAGGAAAGTGGGCCTCAACACTATGGAACTCACTGGTCTGTTTGAAAGACTAAATCAAATACATCCTAGAAGGTACAGTACTCATTTAATATTACCATATTACCCACCATTACCAGTTTTTTGATCAGTTCCATTACACCCGGGTAGTGCTCAATAATAAAAATGTCAGTGCTTGGTGCTTAATTAATCTGCCCGATAAATATGGCTCTCCTCTGGGTGGCTGATGTAGAGATTTGGGCTCCTTCCATCTTGTACTGCCATCCCTCAGGGATTGGAGTCCTCTGTGTCCAGCTCAGAGAAAGGGAAGCGCTAGACACAGTCACATCTGACTTCCGGTCATGCTCCATTAGTGAGGTCATGTGGGCGTACGGTTTGGGGAAGGCTGTCCCTGGCCTGGACCTTTGAGGTATTGGCCGGCTGTACCACAGTACTGTCCAAAGGTCATAGATAACAGGGGGGCTCAGAGGCGACAGCCCTGGCCCAGAGTCACTGCTGAGAAGAAGAGAGCTGGGACTGGCCCCCTCTTCTCCTCCACCTTGCTTCTTCCTACCTCTGCCCCAGACAAAGAAGGTCCCATCATGGAGTGGACTCTTGATGCCAAACCACAGCTGGAACCGTGGACTACCAGTACAAGAGCAAAGTGTTAAGCAGGGCTGGCCTCTTCTGAGGCATATATTCCAAGCCTCTATCCTACCTTCTCATGGTATGTTGACTAAATTCAGAATCCCTTGGCGGAAAGAAGCATCACTCCATTCTCTGCCTCAGATTAAATACCAAGGCATCTAGCAGCAATTTTCTATTCAGCCAGTGTGCTTGAGACCAATGTCAAATACCTGGTGCACCAACACTGACAACATGGCTAAGTTAGAGCGTGACTTGTTTGTGGATAGGTTACATAGGGGTCAGCTGTATAGAAGTGAGTGTGAAGAAGGACATTGAGAAATACTCAGTGAGGATGTTCCAAACACCAGATATGGGACACTTCATGTTAGGAGCAAACTGTTTAACCCAGCTTCATATTTCTCAGAGAGTAATACTCAAGTTTGAGATGGAAGTCTGACAGTAACCACTTGTCATCTTTATCCTGTTATAGGAGAGATACTGATTTACTGGGCTGTGTACTCTCATGTGGGTTAATTAGTTCTCACAGAGGTTAGAATGGTATACTGTACTTCTTTTTACAGATTAGGAAACAACCTAGAAATTGGCAGAGTAGTGGAATATTCTCTGAGGGTACTCAGAAATTATGTTTTAAAGTGTTTCTAATTTTTGTTTTGAAAATATGAGTTACTGGATTTCTCAAGTGGATGGAGACCCATGTACATACAGTAAATTCGATCTGAGACATTACCACATTACTTAACTGACTTGACTAGTTTCTTTCAAAATACACAGCAGCTCAAATGATGTACAGCTGTTGCAATACACTTGTTTCTTTGTTTTGCCCGTAGGGTTAATTCACAAAGGTAGTTGTTTCCAACCGCCTTGGTGTCCAGATGAATGTGGAGATATGCAAAAGTTGACTACTGATAAGGAAATCAGGTGCCAAGACTTTAATAGGAAAGACAAGATAAATTAGAACACAGGGATTGCCAAAGACACCTCAAAATATTTTGCAACCAAAGAGAAATGAGGCCCAAACTTTTCCTTTTTCTTGATCTGACCAGTGACTGTCACACCCTTCTCTTGCTCCAGGGACTGCTGCTACCTCTCAGAGGAGCAGCTGAAAAATCGTGCCTAACGTGAAAGAGTAGGGAGGAACTGGAGGCCATTGCTGATAGCCCCCATAATCCCTCAACCCCAGCAGGCCATGACCAACACTGCAGTTCCTCCTGGAGATGCCACAAGAGTCACAGCAGCCATTGTTTTAGCCCCGCCATTTATGTGGAAGTGCCCTTTATATGGCAGAGATTCTATCATGACAGCTAAGGCTGCCCTAGATACCTCACAGCTGCTCCTGAAGATACAGGCCCTGGCTACAACAGGCTTGAAAAGCACACCTAACCCAGATGGTTCTGTGCCCTCTGACACTATTCCAACAGTCCCTGAATAGGTCTGCAAGATGCAGGAGACTGCACCTGTGCTGCCTGCTCCTCGGCTGTACAAGCTGCCTCCCTGTGCTCTGGTCAGTAGTCAGTGCAGGGCCCTCTCCAGTGCCTCCCTATGCTGTTGCACAGGTCCTTGTAAAGGCCTCGCTCAGGTTTTCCTGGAGTGTTACCTCCAGTAGAGCAGGTGGCAACAAAAGGGTTTAGTAACACTACGGTATGGGTTCTGAGCCCTGAAGAGGTCTGGAGACTGGAAGCAGTGAGATAGAAAGATCTGCGGCAGCTGAGGCAAGGCTTGAGGCCACCAGTAAAGGCAGAAGTTGAGGTGGAGCCTGAGACTCAAGGCTGCCAGGGAAGGGCAAGGCAGAGGAGGTTGAGGCCCAGGTCGAAGTCAAAGTGGAATCCCAGGGCCAAGGGTGCCCTAGTAAAACCTGAGGCTGGATTGAGAGGCTAGCGACCTCAGTCCAGGAGACAGCTGAGACCTGAAGCCTGAGCCCTGCAAAGAAAAAGGGTCCAACAGGCTGAGACCCAATGTCAGTAGTGGTGTCGAGTGCGGCAGCGGTTTGGGTCAGAGGCTGCCAATGTTCCCAGAAACCTGCAGAAGGGCCTACAAGCCTTAGGTGTGGTGGAGCTGATAGCGGAGGCAGGAAGCCACCAGAAGTTGTAATTGTAAGAAAACTGTATTAACCAAGAGCAGTAATACTGGGAGATAGGAGATGCTGCACACAGGGTTCAGAGCTGTGACACTATGGTCTCAGAGGCACTGACTTCAAGGGACCAGCGCTTTGCCATCCGATTTGGCAAAAGAACTAACTCTTAGCTGATTGGAAACACAGCCAAGAAAGTTGGTCAGGCGTTTCCTGATGGGCAGCTCTCAGCAGATGAACTGGATTTCCTACTGCTCCCAAGGCGCCAGGCAGGGAGCGGGAAGCTTTTTCCCACGCTGCAGCTAATGCCATCCTTGGGGAACAGGCACAGTAAGAGGACCGGGAAGGGGAGCCGTGGTCTTCTTAAAGGAGGCCGGCTGAAGGTCCTTGGGGAGCCTCAATCTCTAGCCCAGTGAATGGCGGGCTGGGCTGTGCGGGAGCCGAGGCTCCCACCGGTGCCCTCTACCGCCTGCCCTGTGCAGCCCCACCCCGTCTAGCTAGGGTCTCTCCCTGTCTCTTCCTCCCTCATCTTTTTTTTTTTTTTTTGGTACCGGGGACCGAACTCGCGACCCTGCGTTTGCGAAGCAGGCAGCAGAACCACTGAGCTCATTTTTTGTTCGGTACCGAGGATCGAACTCTGGACCTTGCACTTGTGAGGCAGGTGGCAGAACCACTGAGCTAAATCCCCAGCCTTCTGAGCTCATTTTTTAACATGGGTGTTTCCCAGGCTGATTGGGTCTTAGTTTCATGCAGACCTCGCTCTGGCAGAAGATTCCTTGTTGTTCCTCATCCAAAAACATGGATGCGAACTACTAAACAAAACAAAATGATTCCTACAATCAACCATCCACGTAAAACACGGAACGTTTCCGTACTAAGCTCCCTCCAAACCCAGTGAAGTGAATTTTTTCCTTGTTTTGGTTTCCAACCATCACCTTGTCCTGGCACAGGCAAGAGAGAGGTAGGTGGGGCTCCCTTAAATACAATTAATGCCAGGCCGGGGATTTAGCTGTGGTTTCGCTGCCTGCTGCGCAAGCGCAAAGACCCGAGTTCGATCCCCGGTACCAAAAAAAAAAAAATACAATTAATGCCAACACCTGTTGGAATTTTACCAGAGCGAACTCTCCGGGACGCCCAGACAATCAAAGCACCAAAGCCAGAAGCTCTTGGGGAGTGTCCCTGGCTCCCGGGAGGGGCGTGACCACGCAAGAGGCAATGGCCACGCCCCGTGGCGTCATCAAGCTGCGCGCTGAGCAGGCTCCGACTGCTGGGGCGATGAGCAGCAGTTGACTGACTAGGTTTTGGGGCTACTGCAGTTAGCATGAGCAGGTGCGGGCTTTTCCTGCGCAGGGCGGCGGCGGCGGGGCGAGCCTGCCGGGCTCTCGTGGCCTTCACGGCGAGTCGGCGCCCGCTGCGAACCAGTCCCCAGAGTCGAGCTTTCGCCAAGGAGCTCTGCTTGGGCAAAATTGAGAAGGTAAGGCGAGCCCGGGCGATCCTTGCTGTGTGGCTCCCGCCTTTCGTCCTCAGGCAGGAATGGGGTTGAATTTTGTCAGGGTCCCCAAATACACCCGAGAGACACCTGAGGGGGCGGGACGCCCTAAAACTCTGGATTCGAGTCCCACGTGCGCCTGCTCTGGGAAAGCGTGGACTCTGACGCGCTGGGAAATGTGGTTTGGACAATGTCGCGGGTTTTTCTTGTCAGGGCAATTTGGGGAAGCCGAGACGAGGGGATTATTAAGATGCCCTTCACCTAGCCATTGTGGATTTGAAATGTGTGGGGTTTCCTCTCTGATTCCTGTATTCACCTCGGTCCATGCCTCTCCCCGGCACCATCCAGGGGCCCCTGGACTTCCTTCTGCAGCTGAGCCCTAGTACTTGACCCTGTCGTTGGGAGTTCCTCAGAAATCTGGCACCACACTATCCGTTTCAGAAGACCCAGGACTTTGCCAGGTGCAGCTGCGTGGCTAAAAGGCACTCTCATCATTCATTTTTCTGTGCCTCAGTGCTTTATCAAGGAGGAATAAGCACAGTACTCCTCTCCTCCTAGAGGTGTCCTGCTTTGAGGTTGGCCAAAATGCAAGGTGATCCTGTATGGCAGGAGGAGTTATTTCCTGGCTTCTTTTTAGAACATTCCTCTCATATTGTCTGGCTGGCTACTTCTGCGTTACTGATGCACAAGCTGAGACTCAGACTGAGAGTGATTTGCCTGGCTAGAAAGTATAGAACTTGGACTTTTAAAGTGCAGGAAACTGCCAGGTGTGGTGGTGCATACCTGTAATTCCAGCACTTGGGAGGCTGAGACAGGAGGATTGCCATGAGTTTGAGGGAAGCCTGGGCTCTGTAGTGAGGTCAAGGCACCCTTCACTATATAGTGAGACCCTATCTCAAAACAAAAACAAAAAGCCAAAAAAGTCTTAAGACAAACGAAAAATACAAGAGCAGGAAACCATTTTTCCCAGAGTGAAAGAACTCAAATCTTTGATACCTTCACCAGTCTTTACATCTTGGCCCTACCTTCCCCTCCCTCAGTGCCCTCTGTCAGCCTTGCTTCCCATTTTCGCTAAGCACATCCATTCACAGGTGAGAATTTCCACTCCCATGGTTACCTATCTTCCCTTCATATGTACCATGTTGCCCCCATTCTCTATAACTATGGGTGAACTGCCTATTCTTGGCAAAGGTCCACCAGTCATTAGATTCCAGCCTTCTCACCTACTGAAGGGCAATTATCTCCTTTCTCAACTAGTTCTCTAACAAGTTTTCCCTTCTACTGTGTCTTGAACCTGCACTCTTCAGGGCAAGTCCTTGCTAGTCAGTAGTGACTTCTGTGTTATCAAATCTAGAGATCTATTCTCAGGTCACCTTTTATTTGACTTAACAGTGGCATATGATGCAATCGGTATCGCACCCTCTTGGACACACTTTAATCACTTTAATGGCTTCTGAAAAACCACTGTTTCTCCTTTGCAATCTCCTGTGCTGGAGAGCCTTTTTGGCTCCTCAACTTCTAGACATTGGCCAGTGTTTCCCAGTTGGAGTTTTCCAAGGCTCATCTGTGGACTTCTTACTATAACCATCCCCTTGCTGGTCTAGTTTAGGATCCTGGCTTTAAATACCAACTATATCCTGATGACTCAAATTGTTTTCTCCAGCTGAGATTGCTTCCCTCAACTCCAGACTTGTTTTGGGTTTTTGAGTCAGGGTCTCACTATGTAGACCAGGCTGCCTTTGAACTTGAGATCCTCCTGTTCTAGCCTCCCAGGTGCTGGGATTACAAGCTTGCACCACCATGCCTGCCTCTCATATTCTTGTTATGGCTATCCTTCTGCTTAGAAGCTCCATTTAAATGTCTAATAAGCACCTATAATTAGTATATCTGGAAATTCACTCCTAGTCCCCACCCAGTCTTGCTCCTCCCAGCAGCTTTCTTTGTCATAGTAATGGCAACTCTGCAGTTCCACTTGATCTCCTGGAATCACCTTTGAGTCCTTTTATTCTTATAATTCTCATGCTCTGACAGCAACATTTTTTTCCCTCTCTGTTTAGGTCATCTTGAGATCTAACCCCTTTTAGGTGCCTTTACCTTGACTACTCTGGATCAGGTCACTCATCTTTACATCATTTCTGGGTTTTGAGCAGGAATGTGGCAGTGATTGTTAGGCTTTCAAAATACGGAAAGACCTTCCGGGTCATCAAGGCCAGTGGTTGTCATGCTGCCCTCAGTTGGAGCTGAGCTGTTCACAGAAGTGTCCCTGGGGCTACTGCAGGGACGAGTGGGAGACTGAGTGGACAGGGATTGAGTGACCTCGCCGTAGCAGCCTCAATCAGAGCCACTTAGCTTTTATCTGTTTTACACAGTTGCTAGGTTTGAAATGCCCCCACTTAATTTTTGTTCCTTGTTATCCGAGTTCTTTCTCCCATGCCCTGGGGATTTCCCTGCAGCACTCATCCTTTGGTTGTGTCTGAAGGCCAGCTAGGTGCCAGGGCGTCTCTGTCTTCTCTAGCCTCCCCACAGTTGCCAGAACAAGCTTCCTCTCTCACAGCCCACTATACAAGGCCCAAGTGTGCAAGGGAGGTGAGTGTAGTGGGGTGAGTTAAGTCTCTTGTGGATTCAGTGAAGGGGACGCTGTGTCCCAAGAAACTGCAGAGTAATGACAGTCATCGTGTGTTTTTCTTCTTGACCATCTTTTTTTTTTTTTTTTGGTACCGGGTATCGAACTTGGGACCTTGCACTTGCGAGGCAGGCAGCGGAACCACTGAGATAAATCCCCGGCCCCTTCTTGACCATCTTGATGGTGGGCTTCCGGTAGAGAGAGGGAAGGAATCAGTTGACCAGAGGTACAAAAGCTGCAGGGAAGGTTGAGGACTCTTCTGATCTTCCTGGGATCCTTGTCGAGAGGTTGCCAAGAGGAGCATCAGGCCTGGCTGCTTGTGACCATCATTGCACAGTAGGAGTTGTGGATCCAGAGCTATAGCCTCCTGCCATGCTGGCAGCTGGAGGGGTGACTAGGGCTGGAAGGTCACAGTGGCTGAGGCTGGGCCAGCAGGGAATGCTGGGCTCATTGGCCACCCCCTGGTTTGAAACAGACTGGAAACTCAATCATTTGCCAAGCCCGGAAGGTGGGCAGGAGCAGAGCTGGAGCCCAGTACAGAGACCTAGTTCCCGTTCCAGGGCACCTGGTCTTTTTCAAGCATCACAGCTGCCTTCTGAGATGAACAGGATCACCTGTGATGAAAGAGAAACTGGCAGTGAGAGGGGCCTTTCGAGTTGCCTGTCTGAAATCCAAGGCGTGGCTGAGCCACGGTTGAATTCAGGTTGTTCTGGCTGCATAGCTGGGTCTCATCCTGTGACCCTGTCCCTCGAATCCTCGGAACAGAAAGCCAATGTCAGTAAATAGAGGGACACTGATGACCTCTCTCCCACTCAGCATAGAGAGCCAATGTCAGTGACAGGAGGGAGAGTGGCAAGAGAGTGAGGCTTGGAAACCACAGTGCACTCTTGATAGTGGTGATGTTTTGAACTCACATAATAACTAATGTAAAGCTTTCCATTTCACTCAAGAGGTTTCACACCCACTGTCTACCATGATTCTCACTCAGACCTTGAATAAATGTGACCTGCATATTATGGGTGAGAAAATAGAGGCTCAGAGAGGTGCTGGGATTTGTTAACAGTGTCACAATTAGCAGCAAGCAAGGAGTAGACCTAAAGCGTTTGAAATGTGAGTCCTGAGCTCCTTGTTTGTGGGACACACTTCATCTCCTGTTATTGATAGGGAAGCTGATGAAAGTGAGGATCAGCCTGCCTGCACGGGGTGGGTGGAGAGATGACAGGAAGGAGAGTCTTAAACTCACTGTTTTAGTCTAAATCCCCTTGTAAGGTTTGCTTTTTGAATCTTTCCCGTGGGTCATGTTCTGCTGCCCAGACGTGGAATCTAGCACATTTTTTCCCCTTCCCTTTGTGACTGATATTACCATGATGGGAGGTTCCTTAAAATTTAATTTTTAGTAATGTTTATCATTTTTAGAACGGAGTTTTCCCATTTCCAGAAGTGAGCCAAGATGAACTTAATGAAATCAATCAGTTAGTGAAACCTGTCGAAAAATTCTTCATCGAAGAGGGTATGTATGATTTTCTTTTTTTTTTTTTTTTTTTTTTTTAGTTAGCATTGTTTAGTAGGTGAAGATACAAAAGTTTAGAGAGTGTTTTCAGATTAGGGTAAGATGGGGCATTTGGGACCCTATTTAATTTTAAGTAACAGTACTGTAAAATACAAAGCAGCCCTTAGGAGTAAGCTGGTAACTTTTCTGCTCAGCCATCAGTGGAAAGGCTTTCAATTCCACCCCTTTCTAGAATTTGTTCTGCAAATTACAATCTACAGCTCTTCAAAAAATGTTTCTATGAGACTAAATGGTCAAATAACTAGATATTACACATTTCTTGATTTCATGGAAATACTTCTATGCAGTAAAATGTAAAACTGATTTTTGGCTGTGTTTGTACATTTAAATGATTTGTCTAAATGACTGAAATATACTTAAGAAACCAAACATTGTTCTGAAAAACTATTTTAGGATAGTGAAAATGTATGTGAACACAAATAATCAAAACTAAAATAGAAATATTTACTTACATAATATTATCTGTACACCCGGAATAAAAGTTACTGTTTTTTGTTTGCGAACAATAAATTACAACAAAGGTGATCTATTTAAAATAATTATGATTTCATGTATATCTATCATTTCTTTTGTTACCGGGGATCGAACTCAGGACCTTGCGCATTCTAGGCAGGCGGCGGAACCACTGAGCTAAATCCCTGGCCCTTATCTATCATTATTTTAACTATAGTTTGATATTTCAAAGCTGAACTAGGAAAATATACTCACGATAAGCCCAAATGAGAAAAGCTTAGATTGCTACAATCTCCAAAATCTCTTAAGAAAGTAGTAACTTGGGGCATACCATTAAAATAAATTTAAGTAGGTACTCAATTTATAAAAGGCCTCTATAAACACAAACTTATCTAAAAAAATAAAAAGTAAGCATTCTATAAGCCCTCCAGAGAGAATAAAAAATACAATTTAAAATAATAGATTAGAAAAAAAAAGAAATAACCTATTTGAGATAGGTAATTCACAAAAAGAGGTACTAATCAGTCATCAAATTTAATTTTTTTCCCCTGAAACACAGCAATTTTAGACTGCTGTTCTTTTCGCTTTCTGCTTGCTTCCCATGAAGGATGAAGAGGCGTGTTTAATGGCTGTTTTGTATTTTTAAGTCCTCTTTGTGTGTTGTTTTTAAACTGGTTCTTAATTGGAGGTTCATCTTCTGGAAAATCTGAGATTTTGCTTTTTGGAGCTTGTTCTCTATGCTCCCTTCTAGAACTTTTAGATCCAGATAAAGAGTGAAAAAATACTGATTCTAACTTCCTGGCTTCTGTACTTGGCTTGTTTTTGTCATTTCTATTTTTTACATCGCAATCCCAGTTAGTTTCACGGATATCTTCTTTGGATAACACTTGGTGGAGAGGTTTTTGTTCCTTAGCTGAAGTACGGCATCCACTTTCCTTTTTTCGTGTCCGTCTGGCTTTTTCAGTGAAGAAGTCATCACCACTATCACTGTCTTCAGACATGGAAGACTGTTGGTAGAACCTTTCTTCTGTGCTATCATCAAAATATTCCTTTTCTTCTTCAAATAATTCTTCCTCGCTATCACTGTCGTCACCAAGCAAGTTATCAGACCCTTTCTTTTTATTTAATGTTCTCATGTGTGGGTCAGCAGGTGTCTTCTGGAACTGAGGGGTAACTACAGAATCCTTTTCTAAAAGCTTTGCTAGAGAATTTGGAATGTTCACTGCTTTCGGTCCATGTTCCATTGTGGCCATTTTTTTCTTTTGAATTATTTATTGGTTTCTTTGCCTGTGTTTTGGCTTCTTTCAATTTCTGTTCAGTGGTCTTAGTTCTTTCGTGCTGTGACTTACTTTCTTCATCATCTGAATATAAAGTGTCCTTAGAATGATTTCCTTCTGTAGTATTCTTAACTTCAGTAGTATTTTGTCTTGCATCTTTAAAGGCTTGGACAGCAGCTTTTAGTATACCTATTTTTTTCTTTAGAAGAGGATGTTCGGCTAGTCGGGCAATTGCCCTTTCAGTTGCAGAAGAATCTGGCTTTTTGCAGATCTTTTCAAAGTTGATATCATCACCAAGAGCAGATTTAGTTACTATATCAGGTTTCAATTCCTTCATGGCATGGGTTTCTTCAAGCAATCATTGCTCCCGTCTTTGATTTTTTAACAGTGCATCTTCAGAACCTCTCGTTATTGAGATTGAGAATTACCGGCGGAGCCATTGTAGATCACGGAAGCCGATCCGCAGCTTGCATGATTTTCTTTACCCATTTTCTTTTCGCCTTTTTCCGTCATAAGGGTGATTATGTTGATATTTATACTAGAGATAGGTTAAATATAAAGGAAGCCCTCTTGAGTGTCATTTCTGAGGCTGAAATAGTTTCTACTCAATATTTGCTTTAGGGATCATCCCAATGGCTATTTAATGAGACATCTAGTTCAGTGCTTCTCCATGTCTCCATGGAGACCACTTTAAACATTTCCCAAACTGTCTCAGACCAACCCTTGTGTAAAATACCATAAAAGTGAGTATGTAGAAAACTGAGATGAGAAACCAAGAACATGCACATCCAGGCCTGTGGATCATGTGATGGTTGGTGTGGATATGTGAGGTAATTTAGGTGTGTCTGCAAGTTGAGTCTGGATCTCTGTAAGGAGTGCTTGATGAGCTAGTTTGATCTGTGGACCAGCAACGCCTGTGCCCTGAAGGTGGGGAAGTTGCTCTCACTTTCAGGGTCCCTTCATCAGGGCAGGGGGCCAGGCTGCCCCACCCAAGAGACCTGGTGTTGAGGTCCCAAAGATTGGATGGATGTTAGCTGCCAATATTTGTTCTTCCAAGAATTGACACTGAGAAATCTAAAAAGTATGGTGCTCATTGTTGCTTCAAATTAAAAATAATGTACACCTGGTGCGTGTCAACAAACTAAATTTTTAGTGAAAAATACTTTCAAAACAGAAAAATTGCAACAGTGGCATTGATTTAGTTTTGCAAATCTTTTTAATGTTCAGCTTATTAGAATGCAGCTGGATTCCCCTATCTTTTCTGCATTTAATGTTTGATTTATACCATGTAGACTGTGGGAAAGTGTACTGCGTACTCTTGAGGAAATTAGAATAGAAAAGGCAAATAGCATCTTACCACTAGACAAAAATGACTTTGGCTTTCTGGACTGCAGAAGCAGCTCTGGGTGCTTCCCAGCCCTAGTGCTCCAGGATGCACAATGGGAAACACTGCTCTACATCATTGCCTGTTGGTGTGTTGCTGGTTTTCCTTGTGTATAAATATGTTTCATTATTTAGAAATATTTGTTTCTGGCTTTATTCTAGTGGTTATCTTCCCCTCTTCTTCTATTTTTATTTTCTTAGTCTCGTCTTCTTTTATTTAAACGTATAACATGTGATATGTCAGGGGTTTCCTCCCCAAGTTTTTTTGAGGTAAATTCATTTACAATAAATTGTACACCTTTAAGATATACCCCTAGAAGTTTTCTGTCCTTTCCTTTCCTCCCTGTCTGTAGGCAACCATTAATCTGCTTTCTCTCATTTAGATTGGTTTGTATTTTCTCAAATTTTAATTAAACAGAATCATATGTATGTTTTTGTCTAGTTTCTTTTGGCCTCATGTTCGCCACATTTTCCTTCCTTTTTAGTGCTGAATAGTATTTCTTTGTTGGTTATACCAAAGTTTGTTTATTCATCTAATAATTGCCATATGGTCCGATGTCTGTGTTAACTGTGGCTGAAGCAGTTGCTGCACACCTTCTTGTGCAAGTCTTTATGAGACATGGGCTTGTGTTTCTCTTGGATGATGCCTATGAGTGGAGTGTCTGATAGAGTGTGTGGGTGTTTAACTTTTTAATAAATCTGTTTGCCACGTGGTCATTTACCTAAACATTCTCATCTTGGCAGAGAAAGTTCCTGCTGCTTTGCATCTTCACCAGTGCATAGTCTTTTTCTTACATCCCACTGGCAGTGTATCATTGTGGTTATGATTTGCATTTCCCCAGTGACTGATGGTGCTGACATCTTTTCATAGACTTGTCTGTCTTCTCTTACTTTTTAGACAAAGGTCTTTCAGATAGTTCACTTAACTTTTTTTTGGTACTGAGAATTGAACTCGGGTCCTTGCGCTTTTGAAGCAGGCGGCGGAATCCCTGAGCTAAATCCCCAGCCCACTTCACTTACTTTTAAAAACTTGGGTTGTCTTATCAAGTTGTGAAAAATTATAGAGATAAATGTTTTTTTCTGATATATGTGTTGCAGAAACTTTCTCTCTCCCCATGCCCCTGCCCTTTTCTTTAAAAGACCCAAAGCTTTAAATGGTGATTAACTGCAGTTTTTTCATTTGTAGTTTGTGCTTTTTGTCATAATGGGAAGTCTGCTAGACTAATGATGATTTTCATTTATACTTTCTTTTAGACGGTTTTCAATTGTAACTCTTACATTTAGATTTATGATCCAGTCTGTGTTAATTTGTCAGATGGTGTGAGATAAAGTTTCAGGATGATTTTTTTGGCATGTGACTGTCCCATTGGTCCACCAGTATTTGTTGAAAGATTATTCACAACCAGGAAATTGACCCTATCAGATCTCACCAGTTTTAAATATACTGGTGTGTATGTGTGTGCATATGTGTGTACCTGTGCAGTTTTATCATGTGTGTACATTCATGTGACAGCCACTACATCAAGATTCAGATCATAAAGGATCCCTCATGCTGTACTTTCATGGCCAGACCATCTGTGCCCTACTCCCAACCCCTTGCAGCCATTTTTATTATGTCATTTCAAGAATGTTATATTAATGTAACCATGCAGTGTGTACATTTTTGGAATTGGCTCTTGTTGCTCAGCATAATTTCCATACATGCTGCTGCATGCATCAATAATTTTTTTTTGTTTTATTGCTCAGTAGTATTCCATGGTATGGATTACCATAGTTTCTTGGCAATGCATTAAGTTGTCCTGGGGTTGTTTCCAGTTTGGAGGTACT